TATCAGCATGGCTTGCAGTCTCACGAGAAAGGAGTATAGGACTGATTTATATTTATAAAAATTCTAAGATATTGACAACACCAACATACTAACAACATCAGATTATGATGGCTACTGACTTATTGTAATAGGCATAATTAGTAAACAATTGTTGCACTTATGGTGATTGGGGAGATACACCGGAACGTGTTAGCATTTTAGTAGTCTATTAAATTATTTGACTGAAAACTTCACGACTTAGCTGCCTTCTTTTCCTAACAATTTGGACATGAAATTTAGTGAACATTGACCACGTCTGTTGTTACCTTATTCTCACCGGAGCTTCAAATCATTGCCGTTGGTACTGTTTCAACTGTCTCCGGCCCTATTAACAAATTGCAGGCACCTACAAATGCAAGCAGAAATGCAGATGCCAAACCAAGAATATCAGAACACATGGAAGCAAGCAGAACACCAGATTGATGCAATCATGTTTCATGAAAGAGCATGATGAGTCCTAGCTTAATATAAAACAAGGCACAAACTATTTAGCACATTGTGATTGCAAAAAAATAAACAGAAAAAACATGTTTGTACCTCAATCAATCTATAATGACCTATCCATCGAGACCTAAAAGACGTACATATTATTTTTTTTAAATAATTAAGGTATATGAAACATGGATGTCATTAATTCAAAACTGAAATGATATATAGCTATATAAAATTGTATTGTCTTTGTTCTACTTTGTTTTTAAAAAAAGTATTATATACTCTCAGTTTAGTTTTCTAAGCACTAATAATGAAATCATTTAGATTTGTTCCGTTCAATTGAATAACCAAACAAAAATAGCGATAATTATTTAGCTGATTTAATCAAACCCTAATTATGATGTATTTTTATATAGCTATATATCATTTCAGTGCTCACACCAGGCAGCTTTGCCTCGATGTAAAGCAGATAGCCCCGAAATAAATAAGAACGGTTTGGTCCCAAATTAGTATGAACGGTTAACTGATTATCGAACTAAATAATTTAGTTGAGGGATATCAAACATGGATGTGTACCTTAATTAATTAAAAACATATTCGATTATTTTAAAACTGCAATCATGCCATGTATATAGTATCAGGTTTTTTCACAGAGAAAGGAATGGTAAAGAGGCAGACCTGGACTACAGGTAGCCTTGGCCAATGGTGTCGTGACCAGCCCTGAACGACTTGTGCTAGCTGCTGATGCACCGTTGCCGGCGGCAGGTTCATGGACGGCGAGGCTTGCGTTGGAGACGGCGTGAGGCCTGAGGGAGCAGTGATGAACCAGGACCACAGAGCCTGCAAATCTGGGACCTTAATATATTAGAAATCACACGGCAGGCGTTGATCCTCACGGAGACAAGAGGCAGAAAAGAACAATTAATTAAATTAAGCAGTACATGAATTTTCAGTATACGGTTAAAACAGGATTGAAGATCACGGTATACCTTAGGCCAATCGTGGGAGGACCAACGGCTGGCTGTGGAACAGTGATGCAGTCCGCTGGACAAGGGATCCGAGGCGGGTCAGGCGGTCGTGGTGATACGTGGTACTCGTCTCCTCCTGCCGCCGAGAGAAATCACCATGTATTGGATAGACGGAGGTCGCCGCCGGTGGCTGGCCGTATCGCCGAGGTGGGATGATCAGGGCAGCAGTCACTCGTAGGCCCTTGGTGAATTGTTGTCCGCTGCAGGTGGCCCCTTGTCAAGGCTGGGAGTGGGAGGTGAAGGAATTATCGGTGTCGAGCTCGGGCGGCAAATGAGGAACGATGACAGATGGGCGTGGAGAGGTCCTTAAAGAAAAGAAAAGAAAAGAAAAGAAAAGAAAAGATGGAAAGGGTGTCCACGATTTTGGAGCAGATGATTTTGCATGCGGGCATGCGGCCGATTTGTGAGGGGCGCTGATCTTGCGTGGTGCCGATTTTGAATGGAGGCGCCTGCAGCTGATCGTGAGCAATAGAAAAGGAGAGGAAATCGGAAATATCCGGAGGAGGCGTGGATCCTTACGGGAGAGGCAGAACCAAAACAAATGTCGCACTAAAAAGTGTCCACGCTTTTGTTCTTTTTAGTTGTAGGAGAGTGTTGGAGACTATTGTCACTAGGGCAGACCTACTGATGTCATACTCAGTAGAAGGCAGCGGATGCGCTTGGCAAGGTAGATAGTCGATGTTGTAACATGACAACATTGCTTATATGCTAGCTCCACCTCTGTTAAAGAGTGAAGTAATACTCTTGTCATTTTTTTATTTACAAAGTGTCTTCATGCCCTCCGTGTCTTATATGTGATCCAAACTCACGACCTAACTCATACGAGTTTTAACAACTCGTATCCAACAACGATAGGGTATCCGACTTCATGATGTATTGGTTTAGTAGCAATGCATGGATATGTTTGCTAGTATCTTATAAAAAGCAATGTTTAGAGATTACTCTTAGTTTAAGCGTAGATCGAGAACCCCAACTTTGAAAACCACATTTGTATCATATATCAAGGAAAACAAAAAAAGGAAATAAAGACGACGTAATCGAGCAAATCCAACAAACGCCTCTTTATCTCAGCAACCTTCTCCAACTCCAACAAACTCTAGTTAGGGTTAGAGGTTGAGGTTTGAGGATGGAATTCGTAGTTGCCAAATTTGAAACGGATAGCTGGAGGTGGCTGTCGAAACAATGATCGTGATGATGTGTGGGCCGAACAGTTGGCGTTAGCGGCGACGCCTCTTATCGAGGTGGTGGTATAGGCTGATTAGAGAGGATTGGTGGTGAAGTGTTGAGCCTGCAGTTTTTGTTAGCGGTAGTGGTGGTACGTAGAGACTAGAAACTAGAGAGTGGTGGATCTGGAGACAATGCTGCTACTAGATCGGGAGGGGCGGTGGTATAGGTGGTAGAGCTCAGGTTCCATGACTAACCAAAAAGAAGAAGAAGCGCACGGTATGGTTAGACACGATTGTGGTTGCATGGGAGGGGGCGGGAAGACAAGGGTGACCCTTGCTAACATCGGAGGCAATATTGGCAAGAGGAAGGCTAGCCGCTGGCCAGGAGAGAGGATGGAAGAAGGAAGATATAGAATGACAACGGACGAAGTAAGACAAAGCGAAACAAATATGTTTTGATTTTTCTTTTCTTTACATTTTTTGGTGAGGAAGGGGCACTCGTGTTATAGTTAAAATGACAATCTCACTCTGCTGACGCCTTCTTAATATATTTATTTATATCTAACTAGTGGACTAATTTTAGCTTGTTTGCGTGGTCTTTTAGGGCAGTTAACTAATACTTTGTACTTTTGAATATATATGACATTTAGGACAAACTATTGAACACCGTGCCATTTAAAAATGAAGGGAGTAACTATGAGCACGATGCTACGTCACTGCTACCGTTGGTGGGGTTCAGCATGGTAGCTTCAGCTAAAAGTACTTTCAGATTGTAATGGGACAGGAGGTGTGAGGTGGATTCAGGCGGTGTTTAGTTGAGCAAAGTTTACGCAGCATAGTGAAGATTTCATACTGTAACATTTCGTTTGTATTTGTGAATTATTGTCCAAACATTGACTAATTAGGCTCAGAAGATTCGTCTCGCAAAGTTAAAGCAAACTGTGCAATTAGTTTTTGATTTCGTCTACATTTAGTACTCCATGTATGTACCGTAAATTTGATATGACAGGAAATCTTCTTTTTACATAGTGCACTTTTCAGAAGTTTGGAGGAACTAAACACGGGCTCAGACTAAGAACAGCTCCAGGTGCATTCATCAATCGGCGCTGATGCCATCACTTGTATAACCGTGTCGTCCTTTCCAAACTGTAATTGAGAGAAAGCCTTATGCAAAAATGGAAAACCCATCGGCAGAGACCGGAGAGCAAAGGGGTGCCTCGTTTTTGTGACTGCTCAAATCAAACTTAATATTCTTATTATCATCAAATTTTAATCTAGTGACGGTAAAAGAAAGATAATTAGGTACGACTTCAACAGTTTGTAATCGTATAGAAGCATAGATAAGACTGTTATTTTATGAGAAAAAGTTATAAAAACTCTAATATTTTTTCTTGGGAACTAAGAAGTCCATTACTGGAGTAGGTTAAACTTGGAAATTAGAATAGCAATATCACCCTGAAAACCATGATGATAGTACGGAGCTGATATCCAATAACTCAATGTGAAATTGACGGCGTCTGAAACGTAGATACAAAAACAAAAGACGTCACTTCTACTTTGGATTTTGGTTGCTTCTGGAGACCTTTCTGTAAATGGCATCAGACGACTAATACACACATCTATTCAAATACGCAGGAGTATTATTTTATCTTCAGATCCGATCAGGATCAGGTGATCTGAACAGGTGGCTGAACTTGGCAGCCGCACAACTGGAGTACTCCAACCAAGTGAATGACAATTCAAATTGGCCTTTTAGTCGTGCTGCGCATATATATATATATATATATATATATATATATATATATATATATATATATATATATATATATATATATATATATATATTCGGAGCACCTGCCAGAAGAGACTCGTTAAACGGAATCAGATATATCAACCACTGCTAGGTAAAACTAGTATAATCAGAACGTCCACAGGTGATTGTCCAATTCAATTTTCGCTCGCCCTGGCTGGCTGGCTGCAACTGGTTAATTGTGCCAATTAACAAAAACCCAGCCTAGCATGCATGTTATTCAATTCACACAAGGCCATTCAGGTACGGGTATGTTATTCAATCCAAGAGGAAGAGATGCATTCTCATCAGAGGTCCAAACAATGAATTTCACATGACGAAGGTTAGAAGGTATATACAGGAAAATTGGATGAATATGGACAATTATATGACTCGAGGAATATTACTGATGCCAATGCTGGGGGCTGTTTTCTTTTTGGAAAGGTATGCCGCAGCCGTCCTTGCAGATCTGCACACCACTTCGCAGTTAGACCCGGGCTACCACCATGCATGCACCTCGGACACCCGATGACCAGTGATCATTCATCAGATCCGAGAAGGAAACAAGCATGACAGCATCTTAATCATTGGCCTTGACGGTGTAGTCTTGTGGCAAGACAAGCTGGCATCCTCTGTAAGAAACTCTGGAGCATCATTGCCATTCAAATCTGCTACTGTTACCCGTACCACGTCCCGTGCTGGAGATGCTGTTGCGGAATCGCTTGTGAGAGCAGGAAGCTCCGCGTTCTTCTTGCTGAATTCTTGAACCACCTGCGACAATCAAAGCCACCTAGAATGCATGATGGTTTTCATTGAGCAATTATTCAAACTATCTTCAACTCTTCTTCCACATCAAGAAATGAACTGCAAGGCTATCAGGACCATCCAGAAACATTCAGAATCCACTAGCGACAAGCCGACAACTCAGCGTTACTTTTGCTCTAATTAATGGGATATATCTAGGTCCATTAAGAGTCAATTTGGTCCCAGCTACATAAATTGGTTCATCATCAATCACCAGAAAAGAGTAGCTGAATGTCACAATCCAAACACCTAATGGATTGCAGCATTGCTCTGCAAATACAAATGCCATGTTTACACCATCTTTGAAGTAGAGCGTTTTGTTTCCACTAAAAAAAATTAGATATAGGTGCTCTGGAAATATTTGGTGCAAACTGGATTATTTCCTTAATGAGAAAGGGAAAGGTTGCAAAAATGTAACATATACTTTCCTAGTTAGCTATACCGTTAGGATCAATTGATCAAAACCATAATATCTATCAGCGTAAACAAATTATTTAAAGGAGGCTAATTCTTCCAACTTCCCAAATTCATGAAAATCACAGGAGGTGACAGGATGAAAAATCAGAAATTCCAATGCAAGTCACGGTGTTTTAAGATGGAAGAAATGACTCAGGGTGTTTTCAGTACCTTCCATTGCAAACGTGTCAACAGCACTCGAGCCCTTTTCGATCGTACATGCTCGAAAGCTGTTGCAGGTGTCATATTCTTGTATTTGACCTGGTGAAAATTAAAAACCACAACAATAACATGGATTACCCTAGACACAAGTTGAAACCGATTCCAAGCAGGTAGTATGCTATAATTTTTTTTCTCATTATGAACTGATGAAGTTCTCAGCTCAGATTTTGACATGTTACAGTCCTTACTAAGAGAGAGATAACTAAATTTACCAGATAGCACTGGTAAATTTTTTTTAAAAAAAATACCAGATAGCACAAGACGATTGTTGTACTCCGGCCCCTTCCAGCTTTGCAGTGAATATATGTTATTTTCCCACAAGATGCATTCCCTAATCAATAAGCGCTGAAATGTCATTGAAAGTCTTCGTATTAAAAGAGAAGGAAAGTTGCTGAGAAAAAGGAAGCGGCGTCACAGTTGACCAACAACTATCAGCAACTCCAGGATGATCAAGATCAACTAATAAACTACTATGAAATTCAAAAGGTTCACTTGGGGCATAATGTGCGGTTCACTTACTATGAATGAAATCAATAGCTTGATTAATATCCACAAGTGAAGGAGCAAACATATAATCTCTTGTAGGAATAACAAGGTGATCAATCCCACGTGACTGTAAATTTCAGCAGAGGAGCATTTATGTCACAGCGTATTTCTGGTTGAAAATAGCTTGGGTCAGCAGTTCTGTTCCCAGTGGCATATGCAAGGTTTAATGAAACTTTGAAGGATTAAGGATCTGCGAAACGACATACACCTTTTGGCATGAAAAGGGAAAATAACTTACAAGCCACTTGCCTTATACATAGATGATGGTACCAAAGTCTCAAATGGTTCATTTAGGGTTATCACGCCATGTACCCCAAGCTTCTGCAAGCGTGTTACATCTCTGCGGAATGGAACTGCTCCAAGCAAGACGAACTGGCATAAAGGTCAATAATTACATTTGTATCATTAGCTCAAAGGTAGCTATGAGTAGTTAAACAGAAATATCAAATATCTGATATCTGCTAAATCGCAAGGGCAACAGTATAACTACATAACACTAGCATCATGTAAACACTAAGGGGCCGTTTGTTTGGGCTCCTGGATGCTCGGCTCCGGCTCCTTCGTCCCTGTTACTTCCTGTGCAATCCTGTAGCGACCAAGAAAAAGGCTCTGGCTCCTGCGCAGCCCAGAGGAGAGCCAGAAGAGCTGCCGAAGGGATGCTCCTCCCGGCTCCGCTACAGTTACGCTACAGTAGCAGAGCCGGAGCACCCAGAAGCCGCACCAAACACAGCCTAAGCCCAGGCAAGCCACAACGAAACCCGGGCTACAAAACTAACTTCATGCATATAGCAACTATAGCATTGCTTGCAGTGAACAATAACAAAGCCAGCAGTATTTGGAAAGCCTGTCATGCTGCATTTCATCCACGATGGGCTGTTCTTCACAGGTTACTCAATTAAGAAGCTCCTAATTCTAACAGGGATGACCAGACGAGAGACAACTTATTCTAGATAGATGTTCTAGTACTGAAACAAAGTGTTACCGCATCTGCATCTAAAATGCGGTATTATAGGTGAAGTACTCATGCTCATCCTTCAAATTCTACCTCTTAATCCACATGGCTAGTCTCAGCAAAAGCACAGGAGACTGTACATCTACAACAACAATCGCTTCATTTAAATGTGGTCCAGAGCACAACGATCCAACTCTAGAATCCTCCTTGCCTGCAGCCAGATCCCCAGAGGCCTTAGCAGCAGAGGCAGCTCTAATTTACTAGTGACCCTAGCATTATCAACTCAAAACCTCAATCTAATCTCTCACTCAGGAGGCTATTAGGAAGGAGCACGGGGGACGGGGGCGGGGGGACAGAACCAGTAGCGAACCTGATCGACCTCGTCCCACCACCGGAACTCGGCCTGGACCTTGCTCCGCACCACGTTGTACAGCAGCGTCGGGTAGAAGAGAACCCTCGCGGCGGCACCCACCGCCGCCTCCTTCGCCTTCCTCCGCGCCGCCGCCCCGCGCCGGCTGCCCGCCTCCGCGGCCATGGCGATGGCTTCCGACGGCGACAAGTTTTGGATGAAATTGCAAGAGCAGGATGAGAGACGGCGGCTGGTTTGGGGGAGATCAAGAGTAAATTTGGCGCGATTTGGCGTTTAATTGGGAGGTCGTGTGAGAAGTGGGGAATTGCCTGGATTTTTTTTTTCTGATGACACAAAGGGAGTTGCCGGATTGGGTGATCAAGCGTCAAGCCAATTGGCGAGTGGAATGATTGGGATTTGGGGACAGGGTGAAAACAGAATACGAATCGTTTTACATACACATCCTCGCATCCTTGCATGAATAGAATTTCATAGGATTCAATTCAGTTTCACAGAAAAAATATAGGAATAGAAAATTTTTCCCACGTCCAAACAGATCTAAAAAAAATCATATTCATTACTTGATTATATATCACAAGATAAGTCAGCTAGATTTGTCCTAAATCTTTTTTTTATAACTATGACCTTCAATATCTAATATTTTATAGAGAATGAGAACACAACATATCGACATTACAAGATCCATTGTGAAAACCACTTCCTTAAAACGTAGAGTAACACTTTTTTTCTAAAAAAGATTAAACTATTTTCATTTAAAACAAAAATTGTTGGACAAAGTTAAAAAATGACTTATAATTGTGATAAAGGGAGTAGTGTTTAGGTCATGTTTGGCGAGGCTTCTCTACCGCTTCAGGAGTCATTTAGAGTTGTTTTGTGCCAAACGAGATAAAATAAAACGGCTTCATTTAGGAAGCCCCTTAAGTCGTGCTCTCACATATGTTTTAGGTGGGGATGAAGCAAAAAATAGTGGCTTCACCTCATCTACATGGTGTCATGTGAGAGCCTGTTTTAAGGAATTCTATATGTAGAGCTGTTTTATCAAACGATTTACCAAAACGGCTCTAACTCCACCGATAGAGCCGTTCATGGAGCCGAAGCCTAAAAAACGGCTTCATTAGTGGAGTGGAACCGTGCCAACACAGGGTATTTGGATTCCAGCTAAATTATTATAATATGTATTATATAAGGATTATTATAGTTAGGACTATAGATTTTAATAATTACGGTGTTAGGATCTCTAGATTATTGTGGTATATTATTGTTGATTTTAAAGTAAGACTGGCTATAATCACCAAAAAGCAGGTCCCACTTGAATTATAGGACTATACGGTTTTCATTACAATAATCCACTCTAGATCTACAACCCTGTATCGGCGTGCCTTGTGGCTCGATGTAAGGGACTTGCACTTGCACGTCCATCTTTCTTGTTTTCTTGTTGCCTTGAGGATAAAGTTTGAAATAAGGGAGTTCAATTACAAGATGCGAGGGGATAGATAATGTGTCCGTTGAATAAATCTTCGTGCCATAAATTGTCCAATGTACATGTATAGGAGTATTTGCTAGTATAGAAAAGAAAAGAAAAGAAAAGATAGATAGATAAAAATTTACATTTATCCACATAAATAATAATATTTTATATAAATTTATTCGAACCTAAGATTTGACTTTAAATATGTCATCTTTTTTTTTGGCGGAGTGAGTACGTGACAGTGTGACACCGTACAGCACATCGAGAGCACGAATCTCACGGCTCGGCCCCACCGCACCTGAAAGAAAACGCCCGGACCCACCACCAAGTGTCAGGCCGCGCATCCCTCCCCTTCCCGTCCCATCTCCGTCCCCACTCCTCCATAGGCCGCGTCGTTCCGCCCGCTCGCCGGCATCCCATTCGTTCGTCTCATCCACCGGTCGCCGTCACCCCGCGTCGCCACGCGCCCCCGGCCGCCGCCGTCGCCGTCACCGTTCCCCTCCTAAAGCCACCCGGACGCCAGTCGCAATGGATTTCTCCACCGCATCTGCCTCCTCTCCCCATGGCGCCGCCGCCCGCGTCGCCTGCTGACTCGGCTCCTGATCCAAGGCCCATCGCCAGCGCGCCCGTGCCCATCACCGTGCCGAGCCCGCGGGACCACACGCACCACCACCACCACCACCTGGTCGATCGTCGGGACACGCCGCGGGGCCGCGCGTGGGACTGGGAGCCGGAGCGGAACCGGCGCGGAGAGGCGATGGACGGGGCTGCAGCAGTCAAGCAGGTGTCCGGTGAGGCCGGGTACGTCTTGGAAGACGTGCCGCACGTGTCGGACTACCTCCCCGATCTCCCGGTGAGTGCCGCCGATCCGTGCGAAGGGTGTCGATCTGGTGTTTGACGCGGTGAATGGTTGATCGGTCGCTGCTGCTTGAGGGCGAGGTTGTCCGCTGCGTGGCATCGTGGTGCGAGAAAGTGGAATCTGACGATGATTGGTGCGAGTCTGCGAGAACGTTAAAGTTGTCAGCGACTTTTGTTATTTATTAGTAACGCTTTTAGTTCGTGGGCCTTCTGTGACTGCTGACTGGAACATTCAGTGCCTTTTTATCTAGCAATCGCTATTTTGAGTGATCAGTGAAGCACATACCCTACATTTTCACTCTTTCCTCGTTTCTAGTTTGGTCATTTAGTTATATAGGCGGTTTGCCATTAGTTATGGAGGGTACGGATGAAATGTTGAATCTGAGAGATACTCATAACCGATTTGTGATCATGACAAATTTTTTGTTCCATGTTGCAGACCTACCCAAATCCATTACAAGATAACCCGGCATACTCTGTTGTGAAGTAAGCTTTGCAGTTGCTGGTTTGATTAGCTCAAATTCTTCCTTTTATGCGAGCTAACTTGCCCTGTTTCTTCTCCCCTTAGGCAGTACTTTGTAAACCCAGATGACACCGTCTGCCAGAAGGTGAATTGTGAATTGTCGCTGAACTTGTCCACTCGCATTTTTTTACTGTCAAGAAATACTTACTTCTACAAAGTATTTACATCAATCCTGGATGCCTATTATTGTTCAATGTAGATTGTTGTTCACAAGGATGGCCCAAGAGGGAACCACTTCCGTCGTGCCGGACCTCGCCAAAGGGTATATTAACCTTATGATTTTTACATTTTGTATGCTAGTAACAAAGTTCGGAATAAGGGGGAGACAATATTACTAACCTTGTAAGCTTTCTTTCATTCTTTGTAACCTCGTGCTTATCTTGGTTAGGTATATTTTGAACCGGACGAGGTCCATGCATGCATTGTTACTTGTGGAGGACTGTGCCCTGGACTTAATACTGTTATTAGGGAAATTGTATGTGGCTTATCTGACATGTATGGTGTCACCAAGATACTTGGGATTCAGGTAAAGTACATTACATCATGTCATGAAGTTTTTTTTTAAGGGTCGGCAAAAGCTTTGCCGAAAATATATTAGTAGAGGAAAATTAAAACAAGGTTATATACAACGCTGTAGCACCCTGGTAGAGGGAAAAAAACTCGAAAAAGACAAGGAAAAAACTATTACATAACATGCTATAGAAGAGTACAAAGAAAGTCGCTTCTCTTCTAAACATGTTGGAAATTTGCGTACGCTATTGCATTCTGCTGAATTTCTTCCTTGATTACGTAGGCAACTTCCATCAGTTGTACTACCTCTGTCCCCAAAATGATGCAACTATGGTATGCATGCTATTTTAAGCGCTTCACGTTTGACTAAGTTTCTAGTAAATAGTATTCACATTTATGGCTCCAAATCAATTTATTATGAAAATATATTTTGTAACTAATCTAATGGTATTTATTTGATATTATAAATATTATACTTTTTTATCTATAATTGGTCAAACTTGATATACTAAAACGTGACACTGTTCGAGAATTGCATTCTTTTGAGGACGGAGGGAGTAGTTGCTTGTGCTGAAAAGTTCTTCTATTTCTTTCCTTCCATACATTCCGCCATAAGTAAATTAAAATTCCGTCGAAGTCCTTTCTTCCGGCTTTTTCATATTTACTTCTCCATCTTCGCTAACATTTGTACACCAATCATGTCATGAAGTCCACATAAAGTATGCAATAAATCATTTTCCCACAGGAGTTCTTCAAGCACTCACTTGATGTTCTCTTTTTTTTCTCACAGGGTGGGTACAGAGGCTTCTATGCTCGCAACACCATCACCTTGACTCCAAAGAGTGTAAATGACATTCACAAAAGGGGTGGAACTATTCTCGGATCATCTCGAGGAGGCCATGACACCGTGAAGATAGTTGACAGTATCCAAGATCGTGGCATAAATCAGGTAAATGAAACAAAGTTGCAACTCTACTCTTCATCTTTTTCTCTTTTATGTACCACTCTGTACTTATCTTAATTTCCTGGCACCATGAAGATTCTTCTACCAAGGTTAGACACTTAAGGTTGCACATTAGTTTAACTCTATGATTATATGTTCAGGTCTATGTAATTGGTGGTGATGGTACTCAAAGGGGTGCTGGAGTGATATTCGAAGTAAGCACAACTGTAGATTCACTGAAAGTGTTTTCAGATCTGTTTGAATTATAGCTCTTTTTAATGGCGAATTGGTAGCAAATCAATCATGTATTGGTGTAATTTGTTTGTAAGCTACTCTTTACTTGAATCTTCTCCAGGAAGTTAGAAGACGCGGTCTCAAAGTTTCTGTTGCTGGCATTCCAAAGACCATTGACAATGACATCCCTGTAATGCGTTTCTCCACATTTTAGTGATATTTTGGTGGAAAATGGAAGATGCCATTTGACATGATCCCTATCCGCGTGGACTCACTGTTACCCATGTTTCAGGTAATTGACAAGTCATTTGGTTTCGACACAGCAGTCGAGGAGGCTCAACGTGCAATAAATGCTGCTCATGTGGAAGCTGTAAGTGCTGAGAATGGTATAGGTCTTGTCAAGCTAATGGGCCGGCACAGTGGTAAGCTTCTCTGAGAGACGACCAATATTTTTATTCTAGTAACATATGATACCTGTCAATTGTATGTGTCAACTAACTAACTCTTAAGTATTTCTCTTCTAATATCTTATTCTCTAAGTGGCATCTTTGATGAACTCCATTGCTTCTATGAAAATCTTAGATGTCTTTATGTTTTCATTAGTTTCGTGAATGTCTGGAAATTTAAATAACATTTTGAATCTTTTTGACAGATGTATGGCTAACTGTTGCTTGTTATGTTTCATTCTTTCTTGAGTAGAAATATGGCAGTAGCTGGCATATGTGAGCGTATTTAGTTGTGTTATGGGTGTTCCACTTCCTTCTAGGCTGTATTTAGTTCATTTCCTTGTTTGTATATGCAAGAACTATATAAATAACATGGATATGTGCCTATATTTCTTGGGGTTCTTTTGGATAAGGGGCGAATTGTTTGAATCTAGTTCAAATTTAAAGTAGATCCCAAAAGTTCTTGTCCTCGCGTCCCTTACTGATCTCTAGATCAACCGACTTGTTCATTGCCATAAATTCAACTAGTGAGTGGTGACATTTTTTTTTTACTAATGCAGGTTTTATCGCACATTATGCTACTCTGGCTAGCAGGGACGTGGTACGTCCATATCTCCATCGAACCGAGCCAAAAATATTTTAGGTGTATTTTCATGTTTCCACACAAGAATAAAGGGCTAAAATATTTTCTTTTTTGTCAGGATTGTTGCTTGATCCCAGAATCACCATTCTATCTGGAAGGTGAAGGTGGACTTTTTAGATATATAGAAAAACGTTTGAAGGACAATGGTCATATGGTTATTGTTGTTGCTGAGGGTGCTGGACAGAAACTTATTGCTGAAACCATGCAGTCAATTGGGAAAGATGCTTCAGGCAATGAGCTGCTTCTTGATGTTGGTCTTTGGTTATCTCAGAAGATAAATGTGAGACTTCGATATTCTACCTACATCTCGCATCTGCTGTTTACTTCTTCTAGCTCCGTTTCGCATCAGATGATGTCACTATTAATGTTATATGCATGCCTATGTTTCACTCTCATCTGCAATATAAGCTCTTGTTTAATCAATGCTTTATTCGTGAATTCAGGAATATTTCAAGAAAAACAAGATGACCATTAATCTGAAGTACATAGGTCAGTGATTTTCTTTGGTATCATGTTTTAGGGCCAGAATTGCTAGTTTCATATATCTCAGATGCTGTTCTTCCACTGCAGATCCAACTTACATGATACGTGCCATCCCTAGCAATGCTTCTGATAATGTCTATTGCACACTGCTGGCTCACAGTGTGGTCCATGGAGCCATGGCTGGATATACTGGATTCACCATTGGTCAAGTGAATGGTCGGCATTGCTATATTCCCTTCTATGTAAGTCACCCTCTGTAGGAGTAGGACACAGAATTCTTTTTACTGAATTCAACATCGCAGCATCTAAGACCCACTTATTCTGCTTCAACCAATGCCCTTCTTACTAATTGTTTTGCATCACTGACTTCAGAGGATAACAGAGAAGCAGAACAGAGTTTCGATAACTGACAGGATGTGGGCAAGGCTTCTCTCTTCGACCAACCAGCCAAGCTTCCTCTGCAACAAAGTCGTCGAAGAGGCAAAGAAGGAACAGGAAAGGGCAGCCCAACTATTAGATGGCTCGCCTTCCCATCGGAAGGTTGACGAGAAGGTTCCAGCTTCCAACTTGGGTGGTACCAAGTGAGTTCAACTGCAGCTGATATGTGCGGATGAACCCTTTATTTTTTTTCAGTCTCAGTAGCTACTAGAAAACCTGGCCGCGCCATCTTTGATGACACATACCACTTTTTTTTTTGGCTATGGGTAAACGATAAAGTACTGGAGCTCAATAAAAAGCTCTAGGGTGTTAGATATCTTCTCGGGTTGTTTACAAAAATGAAGGAGCAATACAAGATTGATGAAGACGTGAATCCATGAGCTTTAGTATGATTTGTTGTACTTATAGTAATTAAAATGCAGTTCATCTAAAATTGAATATTTGGTGAAGAATAAATAAATGTCACGGCTGAGGTAACGCTGTAACGGTTACCAGGACTGGAGTTAAATTTTGCTCCCAATATGTGACAACAAAAACTAAATACATTTTAATGGTCAGTGCTTGAGGGTTCATACATACATGGTTAGATGGACCAATGCTCCTGATGAATTAGTAAGAAACCAACATGGGAATTGAAAGATATGTCTTTAGCTCTACAAATCTGTCTCAAATGAATAGAGAATGCCTTATGCCTTTGAACAAATGCCCACCTGGGACTGAAACATCATGAGGCAACATGTAGTCACTATTGAGATTTTTGGCTAAATCTATGTATGCTCGATGAAGGAATATTGGTGTTTTTCTTAAGTCTTTTTGATTCAAAGCAGTAACCTGGGGACCTCCTTTGTCCTTTGTGCATTGTACTAACTACTAACCGGAGTAAAACCAGATTAATGTCCACATTAGTCCTACATAATTTGAGTCTTCCATTCCTGGAATTAAGCAATTAAGTGAACTACCAAACATATGTCTTTTCTACTACCAGTACTTTCAGGTGGGAACATGCTATGATCAATCAGGGGGTGATTGGTTGCACGCAGGAGGCCATCCTGAGCCCCATCCCAGCACCGCTCGGTGCACTTGGCCGTGTTTGGATGCCTGCCACGCATCCTTTCCCTGCTCCGTATCATTCATCTTCACCCCTCCGTCCCGCATGGATCCGTCTTCTCGATTCCTATTTCCCTCGCGATGCAGGACGACGCGATGCATCCATGATACAGAGACCCATGTGTCATACATTCAAAACTCCTATCCATGCATGTAACCAAACAAGATCTCATCTTGTATTGGATCAACAACAAAGACAACCAAACATGACTGTTTGTACGGTTTGAGCATGCATCTCACCATCCTGGACTAGCTCTCCATCCCGACTCCCCATCACCAAGGCAACCAATCACCCCCTCAGAAAACTGTTGGCAGCATGAGTTTGATCTGATGCTCTGACATTTGATAATGAGGTGCTAACTTTGTGAGGCGGTTTATTGATTGCTTGTCTTTTTAGTTAAGCAGCTTGCAGGAGTGTGACTATTTTGATTCTTCACTTGCGCTAGATTGCTGGAGCGTAAGTAAAATGGCTTTAGTAATATTGCACAACAATGTTGCATGGGAAAAGTCCATTTTCCTCAAAAAACAATATAGCTATTAGTGCCTTCTTGGGATTAAGCAGATGCAGGTGTCACCATGAGCGACACCACGCTAGCATCACACAGGGAAAGAAAAAAGTAAGAAAGAAACGCATCTGAAGCACCATCATCTTCGTTTTAGTTTTGTCACACCGCCCGGCGAGGAGAGACAATCTGCACATTGCGATTGTTCAGACGAGTATCAATTTTAATGCAACTACTAGGATAATCTTTTTAACTGTATATATTCTGTGAAATTCCTATGTGTATATGGCATAGTCATGATGTAATGGTGGCATCATCAAGCTAGCAGCAGAGGCAGAGCAGAGGACGCGGCGTCCACGTCATAGCTGCGCTCGGCCAGCTCTCGGCCCAGAGAGGGGCGCAGAAGTTGCACACACGCCTAGTCGGGCCCGGGACCAGGAGGGTGTCGGAGCTACCAGACCCGAATCACATGGTGGTGGCGTTTGGCCGGATTTGGGGTAGAGCCCAATCTGTCTCCATTGTAGCGAGGAGGGCGGCGACGCCAGGAGCCGCGGACAGGCTGCTGCACGATGGCGCGACGGCACGTACGTGCACTACGACGCGCGGGGCTGCGGCGTGGCGGAGCACGGGCCGCGCAGGTTCGTGGGTCTGCGGACGCGGCGTAGCGATGCGGAGGCCACGTGGACGGGCGGCTGCGTGGGGAGCCGTGGACAGGCTGCGCGCCTCCCTCGTGTGCCCGCTAACCACGCTGGGCCGCCGCCGCCCTCCTCGGGCCTCGCAGCCTGTGGCAGAGCAAAACGGCCCGGGCGCCGTCGAATCTCGGGCAGGAGAAGGGAAGGCCGCGGCGCGACTCCCGCGAGAGGAGGCTAGAGCCTGGAAGAAGATGAAGAACGGGTGGTGCTGGACGTCGTGAAGACAGGGAACCGCGACGCCGATTCCTATCTCAACCCTGAAGGCATTGGACTGAGCAGGGACGCCGCTCGGGAGCCGTGCTAGTGCCAAGCTCGGCGTCCAGAGACCCGCAATGAGCAAGAGTGGCAGCTGCAAGCGGATGGAGCGGCGGCGCAGGGAGCGGCGGTTGGAGCATGAGCGGGGCAGCAGTCCGAGGCGGGAGGTGGGAGGTGACGAGGGGGCAACCGGGCGAGTCGAGTGGGTTCGGGAGCATTCGTGGTGCCCCGGTTGTGGCTTAACGGGTAGGAGATCCGTGAAGACGCTGATCGGACGGTCGGCATTGCTGGTTCGTCAGATCGGACGACTAGCAGGCTAACGGGCGACGTGGCCTATCCATTAGCCCGCTTTTGGAAGCAGGATTCCTGTATAGAGATGGCAACCGGTGACGCTCAGTGCTCCCTGTCCAGTTTTTCTAGAAAAAAGAACACATTATCCATATCTAATTTAGTAGAGTGTTAAGTTAAATAAATATCGTATGTATAGTTTGGCTGGCACATGGCTGACTATCTGAACATGCCATTTTTCAGTGTTATGGAAGCAGTTTCTTCCCCACTTTGGGGCCCTGTTTTTTTACTTTTACTTCAGCAGCACCACCCAAATTTAAGCCCCAAATTCATTCCAACAGAGATTGACAAACGGGGCCCACTCGTCATACTCTCTGTCTTCTTGATTCTTCTCCCTACGGGAGCTCTTGATCTGCGTCGCGCTCGCGTGGTGGAGGCGGAGGCCGACGGCCACGCTCGCGCGGTGGAGGCCGGTGGCCGCACTCGCTGGAGTCTGGAGGGGAGGGTGGCGTGGTGGAGGCGGGGCGGGCGGCACGCGCAGCCACACACGCTGCTCTGCCATCTGGAGCTCTCGATCTGCGTCACTTTTCGTGCGCCCGAGATTCGAGAGAAGAGAGGGAGTCTTGTGGCCAACCCTTTGGAGGAGACCAGCGCCATTAGCCGAGCCGGCACCACCAGGGGAGAGAGGGGACCGAGCAGCCACCGGAGGGGAGAGAGGGACCGAGCAGCAGGGGGAGGAGAGGCGCACTCGCTGGAAGGATTAGCGCTCGCCGAAGCCGGAGGGGAGGGGCGCGGTCGAGGCGGAGGTGGCGGCTGTGCTCGCGCTCGTGGAGGGAGGCGCTCGTGCGGACGGAAGGCGGATGGGGGCCGGGGTATGGGGACAACAGGAATCGGGTCTGGGAAGAGATTTGGGTGTCCACTCTAAATTGATGGCTCTAGTACGGGCTGTGCTGGAGCTGTGTTTTGGCCTAGGTATTTATATTTAGCTATAAGGGTTCAAGTAGGACTCTGGAGTGTCTCTTAGACACCTACAGTAGTTATTAGAATTTTGTGACAGAAATCTAAGAAGTGTACTGGAGTAGTACACAGCTATTATCGGATCATGTCAAACGCATTGCGAATCCGAAACATGGGAATTGGGATGGCCGCTGATGCACGGAGCCGGAGGTACGTATACTACCCTGAAGGCTGAAGCCTTCGACGCTCGAGTGGCCTGGGCGGTGCTTCCTGCCTAGTGGGCCTGTAGCAGCACGAGGGAAACGGGCCTCAAACAGACGGAGACGGAGGGCAGGAGAAAGAGACCCAGTGGAAACCGAGCGCACGTTTTAACCCCGCCCGTGGAGGAGAGCAAGACGGGTTGCACGCCTGGCCCTTTTGCCCCTTGACAACTCAAAAGGGCCCAGCTGGGCACAGGAAGCCCTGTGAGCGGTGGGCGGTCCACGGTCGCGTTTCGCGGGATGGATGTTTAGTCCCACCTTGGAAGGGGAGAGACGGAGCGGCAGGTGGAGGAGAGTATAGGACGCGGGGGGTGGGCTGTCTGTCGAAACCATTTTTGCGCTTGGGGCAATGACGCAGCTTAGAGCATGGCTAATAAGCCAGCCTGCTGCCGGCTAAATGAAACTGCCAGGTCACTTCCAGCCATCGAGAGTAGTCAGCTTATAAAATAGATTGGCTGGCTAAGAGATAGATTATATTAATAATTCAAGTATTTAATGGCTGCATATACGGGCCCTCAGCTGCATGCACGGAACCTCCCCCTCTCTGGGCCAAAGAGAATATATGGAAGGGCTCCTCTTCGGAGAAGGGAAAGCCCTACAAATCGATTAATAAGTTTTTTTATGTAATAAAATAAATAAATATTCATCAACTATTAAATAAGCATAAACATAGGTAAATCAATAACTTAGTCATGCATGTTCGTGATATGGAACCTGCTGGCAGTCGGCAAAAGATTGCTAAGCATGTGCATTCCATCAGGAAAGACATGTTCTTGGCTAGGGACCTTTACAGCCTTTTGAGGAGATTGATGTATTCAGCAAAGAATTGTAACACAAACTATAAACCGAGAGCAGCCAATTTTCTACCTTGGATCATAAAGTATCTCGTTTGAAAAAAAAAACCACTTAGCCTCTGAATAAATACTTTAGTTCACCTCAGCCTGCTTCATTTATTTGCTTGAATTGTTTGCATCTTGTTTTGAGTTCTAGCAAAGCTAGGACGCAGAATCATCAAAGTAGTAACAAACCTCCAGCCTCCTTTAACAAAGTAGTCATAACTGATGGACAATTAACCAGGCACATGT